AAAATATAATATACTTTTTTTTGCTTATGGTGATTAATTGAAAAGTTTTGCTAATATTTGAACAAAAGTTATGTGAAATCTTTTATTAAGTCTTTATCATTTTTTATAATTTATTTCGTTGAATATTTTATTTAGTATGCTAAGTCTAGTTTATTAACTAAAAAAAAATTTTATGCATAATTTTATATCGATTCAAAAATGCATAGGGCGTTACTCTTACAGGTGTCGATTTAGGTCATAGATATAATATTTTAATTGTATAATTTATTCTACAACTTATAAGGATTCAGAGCATGATCTTACCTTAAAGAAGAAGAAAAAAAAAAAAAAAACCGATAAAATTTTAATGCAGTTTATAAAATCGTAATTACGGACAAAAAATTGGACTCATATTATTGATTGTGAGAATCTGCTAGCTGAAACGATTTGCTCCAGAAGGTTAGCAGCAAAATATGGGGACTAGGTTGCGAGCATCACACGCGCCTAGAGCCAGATACCTTCAAGTCTTCCCGAAATGTCTTAACGAATCTAACAACAATCCTAATACGATTTAACGGATTCCATCTTAAAATTTATAAAAAATTTATGAAATTCATTATTGGCATTAAAACAAAATTTTCAAAGTGCAATTTTGAACTAGCTTTGTAAAATCAAATGAGATAAAATTGTCAACTTTAAAATATCTACATTCAAACTAATAAAATTCCATGGTGTAAAATCAATCAATCAACTGTATGTGGGCTACGGTTGTTTGCAATAATTTTTAAGTGACCAAATAGTTGACTGAATTTATAATTATTGCTATACACATTTTACATTGGTTAAAATAGAGCAGATTATTTTTTGCTCAACTTAGCAATATCTAATATACGACCGTCTAGATTAGGCGTTATATTTTTTTGATTAAGGATGTAACTTGCTAATATCTCATTTTCTGTGTCAAAAGGAATTAATCCCAGAATTGGGTATGGAAGTAATCTAAAATCGATCCAAAATATATATAATTAAAAAGGCAGCAATCTAAAAAAAAAAAAAAAAAAAAAACAATCATTTTACTTACCCATCACCACCACTTGCGACAAAATCAATAGTTGCAATATCATAAATTCTATCATTTACAATCGACTCAAATATTCTGGTATCCCAACTCCAGACTTTTATCTCGATCAGCCTTTCAAATATCGGTTTGCTACTATCATATTTAACCCTGATTCCGGAAACTTGAATAAATCCATTAACTTCTTTTCCTGAAATAATATTATGTGATCTTCCTACTGCCGTTTCTAGCAAATCTGAAATGTTTTTTCCAGTTAAGGGTAAAATCACCAGAGAACTATTGAATGGTATAATGGTCAAAATATTAGCTTTTGTTATGGGTCCTTCCAATAATCCAGCTCTGATCTCTCCAGCATTTATGAATGCGGCATTTATTTTCGTAATGTCAAACTTAGTAGTATCACTTGCTTTTGTATAATTTAATTTGCCACTAATATTTTGCTGACAATACCAAAGCAATGAGTCAGCGATTAAGTTTCCAATTGTACATTCTTCTAACTGACATTTGGAATGATCAAACGCGTCTAGTGCATTACCAATTATAATATTTGTATATTTATCTAACGGAGATCTCCATTGGCTTACTAAATTAACTAGAACAAGGTCTTGAGGAATTGATTGATCAATCAGAATTGGTGCACCAGAATAGGCGACTATTTTTCCGGCTTCGTTAAATGAAACGTCTAAACGTCCAATATATTTTCCGGACCAGAATGCCTATATATCGACATGTAGCGATAAGTCATGGTATAAAAAATCATCGTTGATGTAATGTTATACAGTAGTACCTGGACGATCAAAGTATCCTCTCCCCCGGCATTCTTGACAATCGTAGGGTATGGACCTTCTATTAAAGAATAATCCTTTGAGGTAATATCGTTAGATAAAAAACTATGACTATGCCCTCCAATATGCACAGCAATACCACGGGTCTTTGCAGCTAATTCCTTATCGGGTTTGTATCCATTATGAGAAAGTGTTAAAATTCGGTTAATTCCTAATGAATGTACTTCATCAACATAATGTTGAACTATAGGAATTGGATCGATGAATGATATGGTTGAGCCCGTGTTGGAAACATCATCTGTTACCTTAGTATAAAATATCAATTTTCTATAAAGACAAAGTTCAAATTTAAGATCTTAAAAATAATGAGTTTGACATACATTAGTTATATAACCAATCACAGCAAGATTGTACTCTTCAAATATATGATATGGCTTTATGTATGCCCCAAGTAAAGGATTTAATGTCGTATTGATATTCGCACACACAATCGGCATGCTTAATTGTTCAAAGTGAGCAGCAAGTGTTTCTGGACCGTTATCGAATTCATGGTTTCCAATAGCCTACTTTATATAAATTAATTATTTCCCAGAGTTAAAGCAAAGGAAAAAGGCAGTTAGGAGCTTTACCGTAATATTATATCCAAGTAAATTCTTCGTTTTGATGATAGTACACGCTTGTTAATCCTAAGGAATAAAGCCAATTAACTATAAATATAAGTGCTTACCAGAACTTTAGAACTTAACATTCCCTATACGTTTTATTAAAAAATTAGGGTTAATTCTCTTATTCAACTCGTCTTAAAATTATAATTTTAACATACATTATAATACGTAAAGAATAAAGTTCCTACAAATACCAAGATTAAAGTGTAGAAATTTGAGATTATTTAACAGACATTTACGCATAAATTGGCAAACAAACGTTTTATGTACCTTGAAATTGGTCTCCCCCATCTAAAAGCAACGAATTTTTATTCTCCCATCTCAACCTATCAATTACCGTCTTATGTCTAGCGATCCCACCAAAACACCTATTCTTTTCGAACTGCTCCGCCGTACAATCCGTGAATGCTTCATTAATTTGATCATAATGTGAATGAACATCATTTGTATGAATAATTGTTAAATTCCAAATCTCTGTGTTTACATTTTTATTTACATATAAAGAATAAGTAAATGTAGTATGAATGATAAAAACGAAGAATACAATTGATGATATTGTTATGTCAAAGTTTAGCATGATACAAAATTTAAGTTTCTTCTAAAATATTTTCACGTATTTATATTATTTTTGAGATGAACATAAAACTTACACGCATTTATTTACTAAAAATTAATTATAACTGAGGCTTATGCACAATAACGATATGAGATACGTTTTCATGATAATATTACGACAAGTAAACGAAACATTTAATAATAAATTATGTTGATTTCAATTTTTTTATACATATAACGTAGTAGAATTGCAAAAAATTTGTCTTATACTGTCTAGCACCTGAAATAGTCCTAGTGATCAGTGTCCAAAATTAATTTTTCCGCGCTTCGCGCACATAGTTTTTAAGATTACGAGAGGAATGCGCACATTAAAACTTTTAAATTCAAATATGTTTTAAGCTTTATACAGCTAACATTGTAATATGACAAATTTCAGTTAATGTGTTATATTTTTATCGTTATACAGTATATAACAAATAATTGTGCAAAAATAGAAATTTTGTTTTTGCGCACATTTAAAACCAGCGCACCAAGGTCTATATGCAATGTGTGGCCCGCCCTTAATTTTGAAGTGATATCACGAAAGCAGGGACCCGGAAAAATTTGGATGTTATTTATAGTACCTATGTATTTGAAATTCATATAAATAAAATCCGGTCCCTGCACGAAAGCAACCAAAATTTACTATTTTTATTATATAACTGTATAGAATTCAAATAAGATTAAATCCAATTAATTTTGGAATGTAATTTCACTGGTGTTATTTCAGATTTTGGAGATAGCTGGACACTGATACCAGTATAAAAAATTTTATTTTACACACAAAGATTTTAATTCAATTCACGTAAGAGAATATCATTTGTCACATAATTTTCTTTACTAACAAATTTCCAAGTCCCGAATATAATAAAATCTTCCCAATCTAAACCTCAATCCAAAATCCCAAATTCAAATAAATAAACATAAAATCGTTTCAAATCCCAAATTATAGAGGTTTTGCTGCAAAATATATACAAAACAGTGATCTGATTACAGGAGTGATGCAAACCGCGATAAATTATACGTAGTGCTCAACATAATCAAGCAAAAATTTGACGCATAAATACTTAAGTATACCCCAATAACACCACAGATTTTCATTGATCGATTAGAGTTAAACCCGGGTTGTTTTTTACCTCAGTCAATGGAGGTTAATCTTTATGAGGAGAAATTCGTCTCATTGGCTAATATAAAAATCAACTGCCAGGATAACATTTATATGTTTTTTTATAACTCAACATTTACTAATATTACTAATAAAATATATCGCAATCATTTATAGTCTTAGAAGAGTACTACGCTCACTGCGCAGAAAAATCTCGTAGAACTAAAATATACTGGATCACGCAGAATTGTGTAATAGATCAAGGGTGACTAGAAATGTTTTTGTTTAAGACTGCTTTATCCTGCCAGATTCAAATATATTTTTATTATTAACCGCTTAATTTTAGATAGTTATGAGCACTTTAGTAGTAGAAGGTTCGGTTGACGCTTAAATTTGGTTGGTTTTGTAAAGTGTTTGGGGTCTGCCAACCGTAAATTAAAAGGTCAGTTTAAAGATTATAAATTGTATAATAAGCACAAGTTTATTATAATAGAAATTATTTTTACCCTCCTTTTTACGTGTATTTATCTATCAAAGCACCACCCAAAGATTTGTGATAAATTCTTCTTGTGTGTATTTATTAACTTATAAGCTTTTTTATATAAAGTTTTCTAATAATATGGTTAATCACGAGGAGAATACAAAAATTAGCCAATCATACGAACTTCTCCATTAGCTAATATGTATCTTGGAATAATTGAGTTAAACAAATTGGATACAATCGAAATATACGTTTGTTTATAATCAAAATATTCGTTTGTAATGTAAACCAAAGAATTCATTAATAACATCGTCATAGAGAGATCAAGTATACTCAGTAATTGCAGAAAATTTTACTAATTGAAAGAATTTTATAATAGAAGCTATCGAATACAATTATAATTCGTTTCTTAAAAAAAAAAAACCGATTAGTAAATCTTTTCTAAAAAAAAAATGAAATAAAACAAACGCTAATACCTAAGACTTTTTTGCTGTACGTTTTTTTTTTTTATTCATTTAATCGACCGTTAGGTTGCTATATAAATCACGTGGTTTCGCACGTAATTTATATTGTTCCCTACGAATAATCAGTTTTCATTACAACTTAACTGATAACATTTTTATCCATAATGTCTGATGTAAGGCGAGACCAACTTGATTCTGTGTTTTACATTACCCCCCTCTCCCCTCTGGAAAAGGGAGGGAGGGGGAGAATTTGTGGTTTACATAATAAATTTTTTTTTTTCAAAAAAAAATTTTCCTAATTGTTCCGCGACCACATAATTTTCCGAAATAGCCCGTAGCCCTATTTATCTAAATGTTTTTACTATGAGGGAGAGGGGGGAACGCTAGGGGGATAATGTAAAACACAGAATCAAGTTGGTCTCGACTAAGATTGTCGTTTTTCGTATATATATTATTCGATTTTTTAATCATTTAACTCACTTTTACTCTTTTGCTTATTTTCGTTTACTTTTCACTTTCGCTCACCATTTTTTTCTTTTTACCTTTGTTTGCTTTTTTTCCTTCGCTCAATTTTTTTCTTAACTTTCATATTATGAGTTTTATACGAGTTTCACAGCTTCCTACGCAAGAAGAAATAAAATCAGAAAAGTGATCAAAAAATTGATTGATCACATGATTACAATAAATCAATCTATGTTTCTTATTTAAAATTCTGGTTATCAAAGGAATTATCCAATATTTTGAAAATTTTTTCCTTATGAATCGTAGTCTTTCTACTATCACATCTCCTGGATCGTCAAAAACTATGGTTCATAAACAAAAAACTTTACATACCGTTTATATTTTAATGTTTTATAAGATATTCACGAAGACCCAAATTCTCATTAAAGACAATATTAAAAAATGAATGTATATGGTTTTTAGATTTTTAGGTTTTAGGTGCATGTTTGTTTAAGTGCAACTAATGTTTTTAAAATATAAATTTCTTTGTAAAGCTTGATATTGAGGTTAGTGAAGCTGATTTTTACAATTCTCTTCAAAAGTCTTATATAAAGGGTCCCAAAACTTTTCTTCGACATCGGTCTTTGTCCAAGAACATGTTATGTAGTAGAAATCGTATTATGCAGGACAATCACATGCATGATTCGAAATTGTTTGATGAGGTCCTTTATTAATTTAAGGCGTTCTCAATATTACCTTCCAGTGATCAATCTGAGGTAGTATTATATCTTAGCCAACTCAACGTTAGCTGCTAAATTGGTCGATTTTTTTAACGTGATATATTAAAACTTTTTGGGTTTTGGATGAATAAAATTTTTTACCTTTATCGTAATTTGAGTTCTTTTATTTCTACATCGAAAAATATCAGATCATCTTGTTACGAAATTTTTTATAATAAAATTTATGTGATTAGATTTTTTTTTCGTGATATTTTTTGAAAATTGTTATTGCCACCCTCTCAGATAATCTAGTTGGCCTCCAACCTTTCTAACCCTAATTAATAATCGTGATATTTTTTGAAAATTGCTATTACCACCCTCTCAGATAATCTAGTTGGCCTCCAACCTAATTAATAATTAAGGTTAGATTATATAGGAAGTGGCATTAGCAAAAATAGGGTGGCAATAGCAATTCTTTGTCATAGAATCATAGCCATGATTACATTTGCGTAATGATTTTCATTTTAATTAGATTAACGTCTTTATCATATTATTATATTTTCTCACAATTATTACTACCAGTGCTTGGCGCAATCAAGCAAAAGCTTGATGGTCAAATATTTAATCATATCAGATATCAAATAATTATAGATCAAATTAGTTATCATTATACTAATTTGATCTATCATCAAGTTTTTTCTTGATCGTGTTGAGCCTAATTACTATATAGTTAAAAGCTAATACTTCATTTTTACGTAATAATTTTTTTTTTCTAAATTATATAAAGAGTTACTATTCACTAATAATAAGAATGAAATCGATAGTTAAGATCAATAATCGAATAAAGAAAATACCTTAAGAGACTTATTAATGTATATCCTTATAAAAAAAAACAACAATATAAATCCCTATTTACTGTAGTGATTACGATTAATTGATTTGTAGTTGATTATGCGGTATTAGACAACGATTAGTTGTATAGTTGATAAGTTGGTTCACCTAATTTTTGTGACGTTTCAATTAATCGATTGTTGATTGGTACATATCACCATCGTTAAACTTGTATTTTTTAATATATAATAAGGTTACCTGTACATATAACGATCTGTTTATGATCTTCAAATTTATCCCACTAATGATCACGATTCAGCTAAATCCAGCAATAAAAGTCGTTAAGCTCTTCCTGAAAGTGAAATCTCAAATTATTAATTGTCAGATATAGAACTTAAATCCTTTTATGATTGTCCAAAAAAAAAAAAAAAAAAAAAAAAGTCTTCAAGTGAAACTAATTCCGCTTCTAGTGAAATTACTAAAAATAACTTGTCTATTGATGCCTTGGAAGAACCTAACCAGCCAGCACAAATTAAAGAAGGTATTCGCTTGAAGTGTCAGTACCCCTTCATTCATGTCAAAAAAACAAAAAATTAATAACACGTAAGCTAATTAGTTATAATAATATAGGAGATATATAATTTATTAAGATTTATACTAATATGTAATTATTATTGTAATAATACCAAACAGTGCATGAATTAACCAGTATGGTTGGCAAATATAATATGCTGTAAAAGATATTCATAATAATACTTCTGAAGACCTTGACCAAACTACATTTGAAAATTTAAAAGAGAAAGTGAGTTTTCTTTTTTGGAGTGTACTACCTAGTCTTTGTGCAAGCAGCAACTCAAATTGTGCCTCCTTAAGCCAAGCTCCCTTAAATAACCAAAATCAAGCAGTCTCTTCTAGCAACTTCAAGTTGAACAAAAATTGATA